TGCAGTTGGGAGATGTCCCTCTCCAACTTGACCGGCGAAAACGGACATCTTGAGGCGCATGGGCAGGGTGTGGAGCATCTGGCGGATGCGCATGATCTCCTGCCAGCTGATCACCAGCTCCTCGCCGGCGGCCTGGCAATCGGCGACGGCCTTTTCGAGGACATCTGCTCCCTGGCGCTCGGCGGCTTCACATTCATCCAGTATGACCGAGATCTTGGCCTGGTGCTTGCGTTGATTGCTAATGCCCTCCTGGATGGCCTGCAGCTGGTCGCGCAGCACAGATGCACCCTCCAGCTCCTCGGCAATCTGGGTGCTTATCTTGTGGGAGAGCGAGAACAGCTCACCCACTTTTTCCGGCTCAATGGCGGGCTCCTGCAGTCCAATCCTGCCCAGCTCGTTGCCAATGAATCCGACGCGAGTGCGAAGTACTTGGACTCGCTCGATGTACAGGCAGAGCTCCTCCTCGTTCTTGATGACACCCTTCATGCTGGTCATGGTCAGGTAGATCTCCTGCAGCTCTCGCTCCACCATTTTGAGTTTCTCGTCCGCGGGCACATCCTCCGACGACAGGCACTCCACAATGTTGTGCTGGATGAGCTCGATGGCCTGGGCCACGGCCTGCCAGCGATCCTCCAGCTGGGCATGGAACTGCCGCTGAAGCATCTCGTCGGCCAACGGGATGACCTGCAGGGACTTCTCAAAGCTCAGACCCGTATCGGTTCTCACATTATTGTGCAGCTCGAAACGGGCCTTGATCTCCCAGAATTGACGCATGTGCTCGATGGGCTGGTGAGTGGGCTGCGAGGGTATCTGAATGTTCCTCAGTTCCTGCTCCGCCTCGCGCACAAAGGCCTCCAGCTTATCCGTTTGCTGTTCGTACTGCACCCAGATTTCCTTGAAGACCAGAAGGCGGTGAAGGTAGAGAGCAACTTCCTCGCGCAGTTTGAGTAGCACTATCAGTGCCTCATTGGTTTCCTCCACGAGATTGGGCGCCTGCACCAAATGCTGCAACTTGTTGGCGATTCCCGAAAGCTGTGTCATTTTCACATAGTGATGTGAGATGTCATTGCTCAGGGATTGGTACAGGGTGGTATACTGATCGTAGTCCGCGGAGGTTACGGCAGACAGGTCGGGAACTCGTTGCTGAGCCACCTGGAGCCACTGTAGTTCATCCCGCATGCCCTTCTCCAGCACAGTCCAGCGGGAGGCAGCTTGCACCAGTTTGGAGGACCTTTCGGATGCCTTGTCCAGCAGACTGGTAGCCCTGTTGTAGAGCTCCTTGTGCAGCTCCGAGTGCTTCTCGCGGGTCTCACTGTCGATGTTCTCCTCCAGGGATTCCAACATGGCACGACAGTGGCTGAGATTTACGAAGAACTTCCTCTGCTTCTGCACCTCGTTGTTTAGCTGCTCGAGGGAACTGGAAACTATTGGGCTCTCCACCAGCTTGTCGGCCAGAACCGTGATTTTGGTGAACTCTTTGAGGGTCTGCTCGTACTCCTCCGCCAGCGATTGAAGTTGAAGGACGCGCTCCCGCTCCGCCTGAATGTTGTTGGCAATATTCTTGCTGGTCTCGAAGGCATTGTGCACATCCTGCGGCATCTTCTTGCCTGGGAAGTCGCGCTGGAAGGCTCGGGCATTTTGACAGAGCTGCGCAAGCTGCTGCTGTGCCGCCTCATGCTGCTGCTCCAACTCGTCCAACTGGGCTAGTTTGGCGGACAAGGGATACTCCTGATTGATCAGAAGATCGTAGCTCTGCTGCAGCTCGGCCAAAACGGAGGACACGTTGTACAGAAGTGCCTCGAAGCTGTGCCACTTCTCCAGATCATTGCTGTCCTGCACCTGGTTCTGCTGTGTCACCTGCTCCACTGCATCCACATGCTCCTTCAGGCTATCCACGCATTGCAGCAACTCTGGTTCCGGTTCGGTCTTGGACAATTGTCGCTCGAGTTGGCCGACATTTTGCTTGATGGTGCTAAGCTCGTCGTTGAGTTGGTTGTAGTTGTCCAGCTTCTCCTCGGAGGGTCCCTCGTTGGAGTTTTGCCTGATGAGGTACACGCGGTATTCGATGGTTTCCAACCAAGTTGATACCTTCTCGATGACCGTGATCACAGTGGTTTGAATCACAGTCTTGTCACCATTTTTAATGGCAGCATCGAGATCCTGCAGACCTTCGTTGACCTCCAGGATGCGTTGCTCAGTGGGCAGTTCCTTAATCTGTTCAGACAAGGTGGCCAAGTGGAGCACATTGCTCAGTGGAGTGGCTTGTTGGGGCGACGCCTGCTTGAGCTGCTTGATGCGGTCACCGATGGCCTCCTTGGTGGAAATCAGGATTGGCTGCTGGGTCAGTTGCTGTTGTCCCGGATAGTGCTGCAAGCTCTCGCTCATAATCAGAGCCTGGGAGAGTTCAATGGGTGTCTTATCCACACTGGTGGTGGCACTGAACCAAATGTTGTGGGGCTCGCCACTCAGATTGTCCGGTCCCGGGGTGATGGGCACCACCAGCTCCTCCGTGGGTGAGCCCACCTCTTCGATGGTCACCGCTGAGGACGTGTGTCCTGCTCCGGATCGTTTGCTCTGCTGGGACGCAATCAGTACCTTGTTCTGCTCAGTAATGTGCACTGGCAGATCGGGGGTACTCATCGTAGACAGTGGTCTTGGTGATTTGAAGCTGAACTCTTTGAGATTTGGGCGCTTCCACATCTTCGGATTCGATGGGAGTCTCTACCACGGGTGTCACATGAGGCACATCTTCAATCTGCTGGTTGGTGGATACCACAATACCTGACTCTGTTAGCAGCTCCGGTGCGATTTCAACGGTCACACTGATCTGTGGCTCCTCTGGCAGCTGCTGCTCCACTTCAGGCACATTCTGCTTCTTTTTCTTGTCCTTCTTGGACTTTTTGTCCTGCTTGGGCAGCTGCATGGTCTGCGTGTATTCATAGACCGTCGGCTCCGCCACGGATGTATCCGAATCAGCGGGAATGGCCACAGTGGTCTTGACCTCCAGTTCGTAGGGCTCCGAGACGGAAATCGAAGTGGCTGTCAGAGAGTTATCATCCAACGAAACGGGTTGCTCATCGCCACGGGGCGTGGTTTGCATCTCACCATCAGCCACCTGCACAAGTTCCACGGTTGAGGTCTCTTCATGGACAGCTCCTGGTTTAATGACTTCCGCTTGTTCCCTTGGCTCCGGAGTGGTTGTCTGGACATGGGTCTCCGTGGTTGTGGTGGTTTCAGTCACGGTAGATTGTTCGCTTGTGCGAACTGGCAGATCGGTAGTCATATCCTTGACCAAATCCTGCACCAGAGATTCCACCACGTCACTGCTGCCTGCCTCTGGTGCGCGAGGAGAGTCCTTTGGAGTGGTCTGCAGCTCCTTCTCGATGGTGGTGGTCACGGTAGTTTGGCTGGAGATCTCTACCGTTTCAGCTGGCTGGCCACTCACATCGGTTTGCATCTCAGTGGTGGATATCTCCACGACCACCGGCTGCTCCTCATTGCGCGGAGTGGTTTGTGCTTCAGTCTCCGTTATCTCAACAATCAGGGTTTGCGATTCATTCTCCTGGTTGTCCGGCTGCACCTCCAGACTCGTCTGCACTGCAGTCTCGTCCAGCTTGGGTTGATGCTGCGGCGAAGTTTGCACGGATTTAATATCCTGTTCGACTTCCGGCTTTTCAGTGGGCGAGGGAACACGCGGTGTTGTCTGTTGTTCCTCGTCCTCGACCAAAGCCAACTCAACCACCTCAGTGGGAATGACCAGCTCAACCATTGGCGCACGTGGCGACTCCGATGATGAGGAAACAACGGCATCCTCCACAATCTTCACCTTCGTGTCAGTCTCAATGCTGGACAAATCGCTATCGGGACTGATCTCAGCAATGGACTCATGACGCACGGCATCGCGTGGTGAATCCTCCGGAGAAAACGGGCACATCAGAGCTCACCTCAGGCTCCTTAACGCCAATGGCTTCCGGCTCAGTCTCCTGTTCTTGCTCGAGCTCCTCCTCGTGTTTGGTATCTCTTCTCTTCTTTTTCTTTCGACGCCGCTTGGCGTCGGCGACGGGAGCAGCTGCGGTCTCAATGATGGTCATGCTAACCTTGCCGGTGGTGGGAGATGCGGCATCCTCTTCGTTGGTGCTTTCCGTGCCCAGGACAACCTTCAGCACACCAGCGCCATTGTCCTCCAGAGAGGGTGCTGTGATTTGGAAGGTTTTCTGTGGCGCCGCTGAGGCTGCGGCCTCTCCAGAGATGAAGAGTTGCGTGGCGGCTCGCAGATCGATTTGACCAGGAGCTGGTTGTTTCCCAACAACGAGCTCTTCGGGCTCAACAATGTCAGTGGTTACTTGCTCCAGCTCTGGAGCCACCGATACGGGCTCTGCTGGCGGTGATTTCACTTCCTCCACTGTAACTGGCGGTTCTTGATTCTCTTCAGTCTTGATGGTTGAAATCTCCACCGTCCTCTCCTCCAGAACAATTTCCTCCGGCTGAGCCTGCACATCTTCAACCACCGAAGCTTCAGTCGGAGTTGAAGACTGCTCCTTTAGAGCTGCGGCCAAAGTCTGTTCGGCTTCAAGGAAACTTTGAATGTCAGTCTTGATATTAGATGCAGGAGGCTGTTGTTCATCTGCAGGCAAATTGTGGGCAGGAGTTTCCTCCGGCAATTCTGTGGAGCTTGTGATGGTGGTTGTCGTCTTGGTAATGGTAATACTTCCAGTGGTAATGGCTTCTGGCTGAGTTTCAGCAGCAGCTTGCGGTTCAGTCTCTTGGGGCTTAACTAGATCAGATTTTGTGCTCTCTTCAGGAGGTGATTGTGGCTCGAACTCATAGTGCTCCAGGGTCAATGAGTTGCCGGTTTCTGGACTTGTCGGCCAAATTTCCTCTACTGGCATGGAGGCCTCAGCCTCAACTGTGGCCGCTGGTGCTGCCAATTCTTCGGCGTGCTGGGAGAAGTCAATGTTGGTGGGTTTGAGGTGATGTTCCAGTGGCCAAATCTCGTTGATATCTTCAACCACTGCTTCGACTGCTTCGACTGCTGCAGTCGGCGAGGAGTCGCTGGGCTCGACTACATCCGCAGCTGGAACATGAACGGGACTGGTAGTGGCAACTACTACGGGTTGTTCAACATCTACTTGAGGTGCTGGCAACTCTACTGGTGCTTCTCTAGTCGTTTCTGTTGTTGGTTGTGTCTGTTGTTCTGGTTGTTCTGGTTCTTGTTCTTGTGTGGTTGCGGTTGTTGTTCTTGTGGTGGTTGTGACTTGGGTGGACTCAATATCAAATACCTCTTGCTGCGGTTCTGCTGTCGGCTTTTGCAGATCCGTGGCAACTTCTTCGATTAGAACTCCGGGCTCCTGCATCAGTCGCTGGAACTCCTCCTCGCTGACCACCTTTCCGTCAACGGTTCGCACAATGTTTACGTTGATGTGCGGCGCCGTCTCCTCCTCTGTGATCTCCACTTCCTCGGGCTCCTCGACCACTTCCTCAGTGATGTGTTCCTTTCCGTCGATGATCACCACCCGCTTGATAATCTTGCGCGTCTTGCGGATCACCTTACGGGTCACCTGCTGCACTACTGCTCGGATGGTGCCTTGGGTTTGCACATCTCCTGGCTGCAGTGGAATCAGTGGCGCCTGGGAGCCTGGGGTAATCACTTCTTCGTAAGTCTCAATAGTGGGCTCGGTCTCGAATTCCTGCAGAATCACGCCCTCGGGCTGCGATGAATCCACAACAGCACCACGCGTTTGCTGTGTGATTACTGTGTGGACACTGCCCTCCGCCGGATCGGCTTTGGTGTCCGTGGTGTGCACATTCTCCAAATTAATCTGACCCGTGGAGTGAACCTCAATGTTACCATCCGAATCGCTAATTGTCTCAATCGAGCTGATCTGCTGCTGCTGCACAACTTGCTGGCGGGTTCGGGTTACTTTCTTGAGCACTATGTGCTTGGTGCCATCGGGTCCTACAATCACCTCGGTGGTAGTGTCATCTGGCTCCACGAAAGTGGTCTCGAATGCTTGAGGTACATTTTTGAGGATCAGCTCGGTGGCGCGATCCACATCGCCCTTAGGTCGCTGATGGTAGCGAGCCTCAATCTGCACATCCTCGGGCTCATCGGGCACATCCTTGTTGCGAGTCGTGTCGATCTGGATCGTTTCCTGGCCATGCTGCACCGTTTGCGTTACCATAATGTTCTCGGTGGGCGAACGCTCCTTCTGGGTTTGCAGAGCCACCTCTGCGGTCTCCACAGCTGGCTCCTTGAAGCTGGTCTGCGCCTCCACGGTCGTGGTGGTCACCACCTGAGCCGGGGGGCTGCTGCAGGCTGAGCGATGTCTGTGTCTCCACATACACTCCAGTCGGCTTGATCTCCTCTTCGGGCATGGAGCTCGAGTCGATGGTGTTCTCGTTGGACTCGATGGATTCATGCGCCGCTGGATCCGCCGGATGCGCTGGAACTTCTGTTGGTGGCTTGATGAGTGAATCAGCCAGGACACGCTGCCGTTGCGCCTCCTCGCTCTTGGCCTTTCGCAAATCCACGATGCGCTTTTCAATGGTGAAGATGCGCTTGGTGGCCACTGTGACCTGTTCCCGCAGAATGGTAATGATGCTCTGCAACTGCTCCATCAGCGTGTCCGCCAGGGGCGCAACATCGGGATGGGATTGCAGCTGACGCGTCTGTTCCACCAAATCCTCCATGGACTGCTGGCGATCCTTGAGGGTGCGCAGCAACTGCTGGCTCCTCTCCACCTGCGACTTGAGCACCTGCTCATCCGTGCTGCTGTCCGCGTTGGGTTCAAAGGAAGCCAGTTCGGCGGAAACCTCGATGATCCACTGCTCCAGCTCCAGCAGATGTTGCTGGTACTCGTCGATCTCCTGCTGGCGCTTCTTCTGACCATGCATGGCATTCTGAACGAAACAAAGGATTATGAGTATGGGCAGCCATAGACCTAGGTCCCAACCACTCACCGCTATCATGGTGATGCCTTGCTGGGTGCGGCGTAGTAGTAAGTCAATGCGGTCCACGGTGTCGTTGAGCAAACGCTCGGTAGCCGGATCCGTGGGCAATGTCTTTGCCTGGTTCTTCAACTCGATGGCGTCCCTTTCGTGTACTTCGAGATTGCTCTGGATTAGCTGCACATCGGGCGTGTAAAGTATGGGTTTCAGAAATATGTGGTTTCCAATATGTTTATATATATAAATCAACGTAACATAGTACAATTCGATTTTGGGCCTACAAAAATGTACTAATTAGACAGCCAAAGGTACGACCACTACAACTGGGACAAAACTAACAACTGAAAGGTATTCTGTTGGCACAAAAACAGCCTGACAAAAAATGTACGATTCTTTATGGAGTGATGCGATTGAGTTATTAAAGTTCTCCGACACACGCCAGCATCCAAAATCGTTTACAAAAGTTATGTACAAGGTGTGAGTAGATATTTAATTGAAATTAATCTAGCTACGCTGAGTACATGCCGAATCAAGCATCAAAAGGTGGTGTTATTTCGGCCTTAGATTAATATTATTAATATATTATTACCTTCAATCCGTGCAGCATGCCATCCAGGCTGCTCTGGTTCATGTTGGCGATGCCATCCTCGACGCTCGAAAGCGATTGGAGCAGTTCGTCGAGCTCTTGCGTAATTAGATCCTATGGTTTTGTGAGTGATATGTTGTTGTTGGGGAGACGGTGTAGAAAGGTGTTAATATTAATAAAGATTGCAATTTTCGAGGATTATTGCTGGAGAACGCAATTGATGTAAATATTTGTGGCCGGCTTCTATACACATACAACATATGTACATGAAGTAGAATAATTATATGAGGTATTTATAAAATACAAATGAATGCAATGCACAGCCATACAAGAAGATGTATTCCTTTTTGGGGGAATGCGAATAAATGCTTTAAAAATAACACTAGCTCTAAGACTTAACTTCGTTTAAAGTAACGTAACACATGCATTTGGCATAAATAGTTATCTTATTTTAAATGGCAGTAGGCGGATAGACAAAAGTACCAAAATATGCGGCTCGTACTGGCGGTCTTTAGCTAATGTTGTATAAATGTATGCAATGGCAAAGAGACTTACTTTCTTTTGTTATATTTACAAATTCAGAATATTCCTCGAAATAACTGTTTTCAGATTGGTTTTCCTATTCTTACACACACTGGCACTAACAAAAACATTCAGATTCTTGAAATATTTCTGCGGGTTTCGCAGTCAAACTCAACGCGTTCATTGCACACTGCAGACTAAAAATTCTAAAATGAACGGGTACTATTTTCGAGCAAGTAAGACGGCCTGCACCGCATGGATCGGATGGGATCGGATCGGATGGGATCGCATGGGATGGGATGGGATCGCATCTGAACGTTGGGTAGGGTATTTATAGCTGTGGCAGGGAGTACTCTGCGCGCGAATTCCTGATACCAGGGCGGTAGGCGAGGCAATGAACTCGTACGCGTATATACGTGCGGTACACATAATGGACATTTTCTGCATTTGGGAACCCGGTAATTGCACACTTCTAGGCGGCACTGCGTTTGCGGGCGGAGGGGTGGGAAAAGTGCTCAGTATGCGTGATCATGTGTGCTAGTGTCTTGTGCTCTGGTGTGCGAAAAATCTGCGAAGAAAACTACGTATACGCTGTGTATATAGATCAGCTCGGTATTAAAACGTGCAAGTTGGTTAATATCGATTTTATTATTATCACTACCATTAGTAGTCTCGTGATTACTGGGCTTTTACAAAGGTTAATATCAATTAGTAGAAGGAACTAAGTTACAACAATCTACATATTTCGTTACGTCTAAGTTAGGTGCTTTTATAAAGGTATAGTAACTTTTTCGTTCAGCTGCGTTTAGCAATAACAACACATACAATACAAACATAATAAAAATGAAAAACTTAAAAACATAAAAATCAAACATGTTCTCGATTATCAATTTACGTTAGTAGTTGGGCATTGCATTATCCACTGCCATTATGGCCAGGCCCGGACCAACTTCACGGCGGGCAGTTTCCCGGATCTGTTGCTGCTGCCGCAATGTGTTGCAAGGTGTTGCCGCAGCAGCATCCGTTGGTCGGAGCCTGGCCACAACAGCAACACGAACGATTGCCGTATAAAAGCCATGAACAAATACCGAAACCACACAGAAAAGCTGCAAAAATTAGAATTATGAATAAACGAAGGCTCAATGTGATGTTCACCTTCTGGCGTTGCTGTTGCAGATCGTTGCTGCTTGTGGTTGTTGTCGTGGTCGTTGTGTTGCTAGTTGTCGATGGCGTTTCAACTGTGGTTGTTGTCGTTACGGTTGTGGTTGTTGTGGTGGTGCGTCGTACCGCACCAGTATTTTCGGTGGGCGATGCCACCTCCTCTTCGCTGCTGCTGCTGGTTGTTGTCGTTTCGGTGTGAGTTGCTGCCGGAGTTGCTGCTGCTGCGGCTGCCTGTGTTGCATGTGCAACATCGGGCTCTACGGCAGCAACATCCGCTGCTGCTGCTGCTGCTGGTGTCTCCACTGGTGCTGTTGTCGTCGTCGTTAGCTTATCGACTACGGCCGTTGCAACCGGAAGTAGCGCACTGGTTGCTGCCAGCGCTGCTGCGTGTGTGGCTGTTGCTGCTGCGTTCGCCTTGGCGGACAGCGTGTGAGTTGTGGCGCTTGCCAATTGGATTAGTGCGTTTGTAACGTTAAGGGAACTAGTAGTTGTACTGGGACTGGTTTCAGGGGCTGCGACGGTGTCGGGGGCGGGGGCGGGGGCGGGACATGTGGCATTAGTTTCGGTTAGTACAGATTCAACACCCGATACAGTGGGTGCCGGTGGTTCACACTCTAGCTTAACCTGAGGCTGTTCGGCTTCCAGAGCCAGATAAGTACTGTCGTCCCGCCAATGACCCACACCGCCCGGCAGATCGGTGGACCTATACTCCGATGAACAGCTACGGTTCTGACCGTACTGGGCATCGTGCTCGGGCGTGGGGGTCACATTACCACTACTACCGCTACCAGGATCCTTGTCGTTCGGTTTATCATCGTCGTCGTTCGGCTTGCGAATTTCTGGCACAGTCGGCTTACCTCCCTCTTCGTCGTCATCGTCGTCGTCGTCATCATCGTCACTGTCATGATCGTCCTTGTCTGGTATTCCAGTAACACCATCAGGCTTTTTAGGATCACCGTCAGGTTGTTGCTCCTGGTTCTTGTCTTTGTCGAGTTCCGCTTCGCTACTGGCGACATCAGCACGTTTGAGTCCGTCGAACAAGTCGTCGGCCAGATCTGCATCGACACCAGCTGGCTGCCAATCGTCCAGATGCAGATTCAGACGCAACTGCTCGAGGTTGCCAACCGATGGTGCCGTCAATGGCTGGGCGGTAGGAATGATTGGTAATGACGATGCTTCTGGTTCAGTCTTTTCTACAACGCGATCGGTTATCGTGGTCGTCGTGGTTATCACTACAGTTTCTGTAATGTCGTCAGTCTTTTGCTTATCGTCTTGAGTTTCCTGAGCTTTCGTCTCGTCTGTGGTTGTCCTTGGCAACAATGCGTAAGCATTGCCTGCCGATTGCCTATAGTGATTGATGAGTTGAACGAAATCATCTTGACTGAGGTTCCAGAGTAGTCTACTGGGTTCTGTCGGGGATTGAGGTGTTTCAACGACAAGGGGCTCGACAGTTATGGGTTCAATAGGCGATTGTACAGTGGATTTCTCGACAAGAATTTCTACGCTCTTAGTTTCCACCTGAACAGGTTCTTTTTCTACAATAGGATGACCTGACTTTTCAAGGGTGAGCAACTGACTAATGGTGTCGACATCAATACGAGACTTGGGCAATATATTGGTTTGGTCAAGATAAAGATTAAGAGCAAGGATTTCGGAATTGATTTCAGGTATCGCTTCGGGTTCAATTATCACATAATCTTCTACCAAAGGAACATCTTCTTTGGATTCCTCTATGCACGGTTCTTCATTATATTTACCACCTTCAGTTGTTGATATTGTCCGTGCAAGAGTTCGTATTGGGGATGTACTTTGAAGGCCTCGCGATGGAGATTATCGATAAGGTTCTCCGGTTTATTTAGTTCGACAGGTTCTGGTTCCAAATCTAGTTCATTTTTATGGCTGGTTACCACGGTGGACACATAAGATTTTGCAGGCGGATGTTCATCCTCCACAATGGGTGTATCCTTATGTGTGGTCACCGTTGTGGTGACATATGTTGTTGTCGTTGTCGTTATGTTCTCCGAATCTACCACATTCTTTAGAGGCCTTGGCTCCTGGAAGTCGGTAGTTTTGCTCACAACAACAGTGGACCAATCAGGCGCCTTTTCATTGTCCTTCTGTACATCTGGTGCTGGGAACACAGTGGTCTCGGTTTGGACAATTGCTGACCATGTTGTTGGCTGATCAGTGGGTGACTGCACCGCGACTTCAGCAATACCTAAATCGTCAGGAATAGCTACTTCAATGTGTTGCCTTTCCTCTTCTCTTGTGTCGATTGCAGGTTTTTGACCTGGCTTGAGAGTTGCTGACCAGTAGGATGTCTCACATATAAACGCATCGTCTGCAGGTGAATCAGGAATTACTTTGAAAGGCGCCAGAAGAGTGTTCTCGGTTTCAGTAGTCACAGAGTCCTCAGATATATGAACCGTTTCGACTGGTTTTTGAACCACATCAACTGCATCTACAATCTGAGTGTTATTTTCTGCTACATCTTTAAAGGGTGCCAGGGGTGTCTCGATAGGTGTTACTTCAGTATGTGGTTTTGTTGGTTCGTCAAATTTGACCACTGTTCCTTCAACTTTCAGGGGGTCCTTGGAAATAGCAGGTTCGCCAATGATTTCGGTAGTTGTTGTTGTGGTGGTCACTGTTGTAATGGTCTTGGACTCGTTCACAGCCGGATCTTCAACAATTGGCTTAACCTCGACTACTTCTTCGACAAGAGTTTCATCCTTTTGGGGCTCAGGAACTGGTTCCTCTTCATCATCAGAGAAGTTCATTGGCTCATCCAAGACATCCATCCATGAGCTTGAAGTGTCATCGACGGGAAGACCGGCATACGCTGGCTTTTTGGGTTTTTCAGGTATCTTCACCGGTTCTACTACTTGCTTGGGTTCCTCGGGAATAGCAAGTTCGCCAATGGTTTCGGTAGTTGTTATTGTGGTGGTCACTGTTGTAATGGTCTTGGATTCGTCCACAACCGAATCTTCAACAATTGGCTTAACCTCGACATCTTCTTCGACAAGAGTATCTGCCTTTTGCTGCTCAGGAACTGGTTCTTCTTCATCGTCAGAGAAGTTCATGGGTTCATCCAAGACATCCATCCACGAGCTAGAAGAGTCATCGACGGGAAGACCGGCATACGCTGGCTTTTTGGGTTCTTCAGGTATCTTCACCGGTTCTACTACTTGCTTGGGTTCCTCGGGAATAGCATGTTCGCCAATGGTTTCGGTAGTTGTTATTGTGGTGGTCACTGTTGTAATGGTCTTGGATTCGTCCACAACCGAATCTTCAACAATTGGCTTAACCTCGACATCTTCTTCGACAAGAGTATCTGCCTTTTGCTGCTCAGGAACTGGTTCTTC